TGTGCCTTCCATTCTGCTGTTGAGCCCATACCCTGAGCTTTTTAGTTTGATTTTTCAATTTTCAGTTCTAAAATTTGCATTTGGTTCTTCTTATATTTTCTATTTCTTTGCTGAAGCTTTCAATTTTTTCATTTGTTTCAAGTGTGATCATAGTTGCTCACTGATTTCTTTTTTCTCCCACGGTTTCTTTAAAGTCTTTGGTGGGTAAGTCTAACATCTCTGTCATCTCAGTGTGGGCATCTGCTGTCTATTTAAATTTACTTTGATATCTTCCTGGCAAGTTCTTGGTTCTTGGAATGGCAAGTGACTTTTCAACTTAAACCTGGACATGTTCTTATTATATTAAATGGACATGTTCTTATTATGTTAAAAGACTCTAGATCTTATTAAACACCCAGTTTTAGCTGTCTTTCTCTGATACCACCCTGGCAGGGGAAGAGAGGAGGTGTGATCCTGTTACTGCCAGGCAGAAGTAGAAGTTCAGGTTCCCTGCTCAGCCTCCGTTAACAACTCAAAAGGGACACCTCATTACTACTAGATGTAGGTAGGTGTTTTGGCTCCCCACCTGGTTGTTTACAGCAAGGTAGAGGTAACCTCTTTACTACTAGACAATATGAAAGACCTGACTACCTACTTGGCCTTCTCTGGCACCTAAATATGGCCTCACGAGGGTACAAGCCTAGGCTCCCCATTCAGCCTTTGCTGGACAGTTTTTTCTTTGGTGTTTAGATAGAGTAGAGTGGTTATTGTCTAAAAGCTTTCTGTATTGCTAGACTGCCCATTTCCTACTTGCTCCTTTGGCTAGAGAGAGCAGGCTTTTGTTGAGACTTCCTTTGTCTGCACCTGTTAGCATTTCTGAGTTGCTTGCTTCTTTAGGTCCAAGTCTGGGATATATGCAGCAAAAAGGAAATATATGAGACAGGGTCTCACTCTGTCACCCAGGCTGGAGTGCAGTGGCACAATCTTGGCTCACTGCAGCCTCGGCTTCCTGGGCCCTGGCGATCTTTCCACCTGGGCCTACTGAGTATCTGGGACTACAGGCACATACCATGATACCTGGCTACTTTTTGTATTTTTTGTAGAGACCAGGTTTGGTCACGTTGCCTAGGCTGGTCGTGAATTCCTGGGCTCACCATAATGTGATTTCTAGGACTCAGATCTTTAGCCACTCTGCTTTCTTTTAACTTTCCATGGTTATAATTATGCTTACAATTCTTTTATGTGCAGTGTCCAGAGTTTTAGTTGTATTTAGTAAGATACAACTAGTAAATGTACATTTACTCCATCTTTCTAGAACCATGAGTCAAACCTCCTTCACCTTCATTTTTGAAGGATTGTTCTCCTGGATATAGAATTCTTAGTTGACAGGTTTTTTGTTTTTTCCTTTCTGCTCTTTGATTATGTCACACCATCATCCTCTGGTCTCTACTGTTTCTGATCAGAAATCAGCTATTAATCACATTATTGTTGCCCTGTATGTGATGAATTGTTTTCCTCTTGTTATATTCAAGATTTTGTCTTTCAACAGTGTGAATATGATTTGTCTAAATGGTTTTTTTCTTTTTTTCTTTTTTCTTTTTTTTTTGCGGTTTATCGTAATTGTGCTAATTGTGGTTCACTGAGCTTCTTGGATCTATAGATAATCTTCATCAAATTTGGGAAGTTTTCAGATTTTTCTTTCAATTTTTTTGTCCCTTTTGCTCCTTTCCATTTGAGATTCCCATTACACAGGTGTTAAAATGATGTTGGAACACATGATGTTGTTGCACAGGGCTCTGTTGATTTTTCTCTGAATTTTTTTCTGCTTTTTAAATTTTTATGTATTTATTTATTTTGAGACAGGGTCTCACTCTGTCACCCAGGCTGGAGTACTCTGCCATGATCTTGGCTCACTGCAGCCTCAACTTCCTGGGCCCAGGAGATCCTTCCACCTCAGCCTCCTGAGTAGCTGGGACTACAGGTGCATACCATGACACCTGACTGATTTTCGTAGATACAGGGTTTTGCCATGTTGCCCAGGCTGGTCTGAAACTCCTGGGCTCCAGTGATGTACTTGCCACAGCCTCCAAAAGTATTGGGATTACAGGTATGAGCCACCATGCCCAGCCCTCTCTGCTCTTTGGTTTGGATAATTTCTTTTTTTTTTTTTTTTTTTTTTTTTTTGAGATAGGGTCTTGCTGTGTCACACAGGCTGGAGTGCAGTGGTATGATCTTGGTTCACCACAGCCTCAGCCTCCCTAGGTTCAGGTGATCCTGCCACCTCAGCCTCCCACGTAGCTAGGACTACAGATGTGCACCACCATACCTGGTTAATTTTTTATTTCTTGTAGAGACATAGTTTCTCCATGTTGGCCAGGTTGATCTCAAACTCCTGGACTCAAGCGATCCACTCACCTCAGCCTCCCAAAGTGCTAGGATTGTAGGTGTGAGCCACTGCACCTGTCCTGGATACCTTCTCTTGATCTACCTTCAGGATCACTGAATCTTTCTTCTACCATTTCTAATCTGCTCTTGAGTTCAACTAGGGAATTTTTCATTTCAGTTAGTAGTATACTCTTCAATTCTAGAAATTCTACTTGGTTCCTTTTTTATAATTTCCATTTGATTCTCTATTTGTTAATTCACAGTTGGCATATTTTATAGCAACTATTCAAATATACTTTAGTTCTTTAAATATAATCATAATAACTATTTTTAAGTCTTTGTTAAATCTAGCATCTGGGCCTACTCAGAGTTAGTTTTAACTTAAATACTCATCTTCTTTAGTATGGGTCACACTTTCTTGTTAGTCTGCATGTTTATTACATTTTAGCTGAAAACTAGACATTTAAGATTATATATATAATATACATAATTTAAGATTACATATATAATCTTAAATGTTTATATGTTCAGATATATATGTGTGTGTATATATATCTACACACACACATATATATAGAGAGAGAGAGAGAGCACATGTATATGTAACATCAACACTTGATTACCTTATTTTTCTGCAGATTTTTGCTTTGTTTTGTTTTGATAACTTACCTGAATATAAACTGTAGAATGTCATTCTCCATGGTCTGTACCCACTGATGTCTCTGTTCAGAATTTTTTTTTCAATTCCATTGAGGTCACATTTGTGTTACATACTTGAACAGCTGACCAATAATTTAGACACCCTGAACTCACTGTGCTTTCGCCCTTCCTTAACCAAGGTGTATGGATTGAGGAATGGCATTCAAAGTGGCAGTCATCGCAGGTCTCCCTGGCTTTTACTTTTTGCTGGGCTCTCTTGGGTCTTCCCTGCTTATGTTTAGTTTCCCAGAAAGCCTAGAAAAGCTTATTTCACACCTTTAATGTCTCTCTCACTTGCACGATCTCCCTGTTAAATTCTGGCTGGTCTACCACCCATCCCAAATCACAACTGCTACCGTGGGCTAGTCATGCTGCAGGATTTCCTGAAATATTCTAACGTGAGTCTGCTTTTTTAGCTCACAAAGCCACAGGCTTTCAGTGCCTCCATCCTCCACCCTGAATCAAGTCGACCTTTGGCTGTAAGGTTTTGGTTTTCGCCACCAGTCCTGAACTGAGTTAAAATTTTATTTTATTTTTAGAGACAGGGTCTCCCTCTGTCACCCAGGCTACAATGCAGTGGTGCAATCATAGCTCACCGTAGCCTCAACCTCCTGGGGTCAAGTGATCCTCCCACCTCAGCCTCCTGAATAGCTGGGACTACAGGCATATGCCAGCACACTTATCTAATTTTTTATTTTTTTGCAGAGACAGCATCTCATTATATTGACCAGCTGGTCTTGAAATCCTGGCTTCAAGTGATCATCCCACCTCAGCCTCCCAAAGTACTGGTATTACAGAAGTGAGCCACCATGCCTGGCCTTTGTTTTTTTTTTTTATTTATTTATTTTAAATAATAGAGTGTGGCAGGAAGAGGATATGGAATCAGTTCCAAGCAAGAATACCACATTCTCACCCATTCTTGGCCAAAGCTACAGAAGCTTCTCAAGAATCAACACTTCTCAATTTTTCACCTCGCTTTGGTGGATTTTCAGTTTCCAGTGGTTGGGTGTGTTTTTTTTTCTTTACAATGTTGTTCAGTTTTGTACTTGTTTTCTGTATTAGTGAATCACTTGACCTCTGACATTGCAATTACCAAAATAAGAACTCAACCAAATGTAATTAGGATCCCAAAAAGAATGGAACCTATTAGGATCCTGATTCTCAACAAGCCAATTACAGAAAAACATTCAAGAGATAATTAAGGAAATGTGAATGCTGACTGAGTATTTGATAATATTAAGGAATTATTTTTAGTTTTTTTGAGATTTGATAATGTCATTCTAGTTTTGTTTTTATTTTTTTTTTATTTTGTTTTTATTTTATTTTTTTTTTTTGAGACGGAGTCTCGCTCTGCCGCCCAGGCTGGAGTGCAGTGGCCGGATCTCGGCTCACTGCAAGCTCCACCTCCCGGGTTCACGCCATTCTCCTGCCTCAGCCTCCCGAGTAGCTGGGACTACAGGCGCCCGCCACCTCGCCCAGCTAGTTTTTTGTATTTTTTTAGTAGAGACGGGGTTTCACCGTGTCAGCCAGGATGGTCTTGATCTCCTGACCTCGTGATCCGCCCGTCTCGGCCTCCCAAAGTGCTGGGATTACAGGCTTGAGCCACCGCGCCTGGCCTGTGTTTAGCTTTTACAGTCACATACTAAAGTGCTTTTTTGTGTGTTTTGAGACAGGGTCTCACTCTGTTACCCAGGGTAGAGTGCAGTGGCATGATCATGACTCACTGCAGCCTCAATTTACTGGGCTCAAGCAATCCTACCACCTCAGCCTCCTGAGTAGCTGGGACCACAGACACATGCAGCATTTTAAATTTTGGGGTAAAGATAGTGTTTCACTATGTTGCCCAGGCTGGTCTCAAAGTCCTGGGCTCAAGTGATCTTCCCATCTCAGCCTCCCAAAGTGTTGGGATTATAGGCATGAGCCACAGCACCCAGCCACATACTGAAGTTTTCTAGGGAAAAAAGTATATATTATTTGAAGTTGGTTTTAAAATAATTTAAAGGTGTTAGATTAAACTAGATTGGATAACTGTTAATGTGCCAGTTTGGTAATGTGTCACCTTGGCTAGACTGAACCTCATTTCCCAGAATTCTCTTCCCTTTATGTTTCTGGTTAGGGTGTGCTACAAAAGACATTTACTGAGCGATCTGGAAGACAAAAGAGTAGCAATAGCCACAGTGCTTTTATTCTCAGAAGACTGATACAAGGGATCCAGGCGGGGCTACAGCTGTTTCTCACTGACCCTATATCCTCCTTTAGTTTCTCCGGGTCCTGGGCAGGTCTGTATTTAGCTCTGTGATGAAGAGCACTAGCTTCTCCTGTATGAAACCCACATCATCAAAGCATTTTTATCATCAGAGACACAGCCTCTGCACATCTTCCTCCTAAAAGAAGTCTCTTTCAATCACCTCAGCCATCTTTTGAGAAAGGAACTATTTCCAAATATCCTAGAATTTAAAATGACTGACAACTGTTAATTACCATACCATCCGTTTGTTGAGAGTATACGAATACTTATCATCGTATTTCATCCTCATAATCACCCTGTAGAGCAGGAAGTATCATTCTTTTCATTTTAAGGATGAAAAATACTGAAGCTCAGAGAGATGAAATAAATGGCATCCCCAAGATCACACAGCTAGCAAGTGAGAACCAGGAGTCAACGTCCATCACACCATGGCCCCCGCAAGCTTATCCCACCCCCCGCCTAACCTGATAGACGATCTTCTAGGTTCAGCAGCATCTCTATCCAAAGTACATATTTGTGAAAAATAAAGTCAAAATACCAATAATCTGTATTTATTTTACCTAACGTCCAACATGAAAAAATATTTTAAGAGTGAGCAGATGAAACCATTACTTCAAATAAAGTTTTTTGAATTATGTTTAATTTTATTTATCTCCAGGGACAAGGATAAATGAAGAACGGACTGCAACTAGCATCTCCTGCGAGAGGAAAAGGCGACACCCAAAGAAAGGTCAAAGAAAGAAAACTAGAGATCAAATTGGAAAGAACAGTGCAGTAAAACACACGAACCAAATTAGCAACCTCCACTGTATTTTCTCTGTAAAACCAGCATGCCATTGAGGTGATTACCATTTTAGTGAAATGAATGAAAACAGTCATTTCCTCCATGCTACTTGTTTCACCCATGCCAGATTAGAAAGGAAGAGAATTTTTGAAATTGTATTACACTTGCTCACACCTTGGTAGCTCCTCATTTTCCAATAATATAAGTCACTTTCAGATCCCAAAGTCTGTGGTAACAGTTTTTGCTCCTGGAGTAATACATGAAATTGGGTATTTAAAATACCAGTCTACTTGTAAAATAAATAGCACATAAATAAACAATAGCAGCTAATATTTACTGAGCATGTTACAATTGGGTATTGTTTTCTATATTTTTAGTCTTCCAAACAAATTTTTGATATAGATTCTCTTATTGGTATGGCAGACATATAACTGATCATCCAAATAAGGATACTTTAGAGACTGAAAGGTGGCACTATTAACACTTGTGCCAGGCACAGATATAAACCAGGAATGTCTGGATACCCACTCATTGGCCTTATCTTACAGCTAAAGAACTAAGGAACAGAGAAGTTGAATAGTATGCCCAGGGTCACTCAGCTAGTAAGCAGAGGAGCCAGGTTGAAGGCCAGGACGTCTGGCTTCAGCACTATACTCAGCCATTCTGCCATGTGCTCCTTCTGAGCTAACTCATAGACTGTAACGTTTTTCAAATAAATCATTCAACTATTCTAGTTTCAGACACACAAACCTCTCTATAGTTCACAAGTTTCACAAGGCCTAAAAGCACACAATAAAAAGTCTTACATGTAAGAGATTGCAAGTAGAAAGTGCCTGCAAAATAACCTGCAGAGACTCCACAGGGTGAGCCCAGGCAGAAGGCATCACCAGGGAACCCACCGTTTAGGCCAGGTAGTTGGGAGAACCAGTGTCTAGTCTGGGCTCCATTCTTTCCCTCCTGGCCTGAGTTCCCTCATTTGTGCTCCTCTAGACACCTTATAAGGTCCTTCCCTGCCAACCATTTGATATGAGCTGGTGGACACATGTCCAAATCCTTTCATCTTGGAGCTTCTCCATCCCAAATTGTTTCACTTCCTTCAGGGAACTTTCCATGGTTTCTTGCTGAGGTGTGAGATAAGCAACTACAATCTTCTTTGAGGTGCCTCATTCGAGGGCCTCAAGTTTTGCAGCCTCTCTCCCCACTGCGAGACAGGAAGGAGAGAGAGTAGAAAAAAGAGTGAGGCCCCAGGAGAACGGTTGATTCTCTGACCTGTATAATGGTAGATACATATGCTCTGTTTAAGAAGCATGAATTATTATAGCTGTGAAACACAAGGCTATAAAGCATCTATGTGCTGAAAACCAGTCAACCTAAACACAGAAGAAGCAACAATTAAGAGAAAACATGTAACACATTAGATTTCTGCAACAAAGAAGAAACCTTCTCATCTACTGGTAGAGGTAGACTGTCAGATGGAATGCAGTAGACTGCTAGATGGAATTCGTTTCCTAATAATGCAGGTGGTTCTTTAACTTCAGAAAGTGTAACACACTAATATGCAACACAAAAGAACATGCCTGCTCTGTCCAATTTCAGACAGATTAGATCTAAGGTATAGAGAAATCAGTTCATTTTATCCTAAGCAATGCATGTTATACAGCAGCAGCATCCGAAATGCAAAGGCGACTTCTAGGTCAACTAAAACCAAACCACCAACAACACAGGGTACAGACTACATTCACTGAAAGATTTGCTCCAGAATCAATCACTTATATTGCTTAGAATAGCTGTATAAAACTGTCAGTCCTGACTGCAAGGCCACATATGGTTCTAAGTATTACTTGAAGTGAGAAAAGTAGACACGGTTTAGTCTCACTATGGATCTATCACATTCTTTTATTCTCACAATCTTCTGTGTTCTTCTGTGACAATTCATTAGCAAGTTATGAGAGAATAAAGCAATTAGCTTATACCAAATGGCATTTTTACTTAAACATTATTTTCAGAGAACCACTTGAAGACTTCCATGATTTTATTTGGACGTTTTGAAAGTGGATAAGTGCTAAGAGCCCAATTCTGTATGTTCTGCTGCTTGATTAGATGCCATGTTTACTTCCTTTACTGAGTATAAAGTGGAGACTGTCCATGGAAAGAAGTGTTATTTATAATTGCATGCTACCAGATGGCCTATCTCCTTTCCACATCCCTAAAAAGGTCCAAAAAAAATGTCTTCCATGGATTAGATTTCAGAGTAAGGTATAATTTCATAGCTTGCTAGCTTATTTTATTTGAATTTTCATTATACATAAAACATAATACTCATAATTAACATATATCAAGTGTTTACTACATGACAGCCTCTATCCTAGACCTTTTCTCTGTAGCATCTCCTTGAAACCTCCAATAACCCCATAAAGGGTATTACTATTTCCTCACTTACAGATGAAGAAGCTGGGTGAAAGGTTAACTAACTTGCTCCAGGTTATTCAGCTAGTAGGTGGCTGAGCTATGACCTAAATCCAGGCCCCACTCCAAACTGCATGCTTTTAACCATCATGCTATACTTCCTCCTTAATTATGTATATGTATTTATTGCTATAAATGTATATGTATGTAAACCCACTGAGGTGGGTTTTGCTTGCTCTTTTAACATCTGCAAGCTCCTTAAGAAAAGAGGATTTTGTCTGTTAGATTCCCAGAACCCAGCACACAAATCTGGCATTCAGTAGCTTGCCAGTAAATTTTGCTGAATGGATAGGAGAATACCCTTGCATAAAACTTCTATGTGTGGATCTGCATATTCCCATATTTAAAAGGCATCCATACATCCACATGAAAAAAATCATAGCATAATTTGGTAACAAAAAAAGACAATTTAACTATTCTATTTTCTCTTCTTAATAATCTGGTTTTATTTTCAGATCCTTAGGGAAAGAACAAATGAGTCATACTATGACATGGGGAAGTCACTAAAAGTAAGCTATAGGAATGGGAAATGGCACTATATTACTTTACAATTCATTAACAAGTCAGACGTCAGATACAAAAACTAGCTTGCCAAATCAATAATTTAAAAAAATAATTTAATGGAAATAAGAGGTTAGGAAGGTAAGAAGGACAAGAAAATGATTTAAAAATCTCAAGAGATCGAAAACCATAGAAAAAATTCACTGCCTCTCTCTTGCTTTTGGAAGAAGCCACTGTATGACATAGCAATTCCCATTTCTTAAATTATCTTTATATTTATAACAAGTCTTGAGATGCCTGATTTAACATATGTGGCTTGTGACAAAATACTACTAGAAGGAAATAAGTAGACTTTCGTATTTTGTATTTGAAATAACATCTGGAATCCAGTAAACATTAACAATCTGGGGATCAGAAGATCTGGGATTTAATCCTGACCACAAATCAAGTTCAAAATATCGGCTAAGTCAAAACCTCTAGAGCTCCACACCATAAAAAATGAGTCCAAGACCACGTCTTCTTTTTTGCATAATCAGGAATATTTTGAGGATATGAGAACGAGAGGGGGCGGAGGGGTGGGGAAAACGCATGCGTGAACACTTAGAGCTCTTCAGGGCAGAAAAGTCCCATATAAATGCAAAGCTTTAAGACACTGACTTCACTCCTCACTCCTCATTTTGTTCACTCCAGAAGCACAGCAGTTTGGAGTAAAGTCAGCAGTATTACACAGGGATGCAGGGTCTGAGGCATATACTTTTAACCCGAAACACATTTCACACTAAAAATCTATAAAGCTACAGTGGGGAAGGGCTTGGGGGCCATCTTTAAGTTGACGGAGACCACTCTTCCTCCCCAAACCATTTGTGATGACTCACGAGTACTGTGGGAAAACTGTTTATGAATATGAACTACTGTATGTGAGAAAATGTAAGGAAGAGAATTATTGTGTGAGTTGGAATATATATGTATATTAATCTTTGCTTACAGCCAAGAGTGATGAGACCGAACTCTATCTGAAATTATTAAGCAGCAATCACAGGCTGAGATAATGCAGGAACATTTGGGGTTAACTGTAATTCACTGCCAAGAAAAAACAATCTGTCCAGGGAGATCCCAGGTCACGAAGAAGATGGAAAGGAAGGAACATGGAAGTGGAAGACAAGATGCCAGCCCTGGCAAAGGGTCTGGCCCTCCAAACAGTGCATAAATTTCCTTTCTTTTTTTTTTTTTTTTGAGACAGAGTTTTGCTCTGTCATCTAGGCTGGAATGCAGTAGCGCGATCTCAGCTCACTGTAACCTCTGCCTCCTGGGTTCAAGTGATTCTTGTGCCTCAGCCTCCCAAGTAGCTGGGACTACAGGTGCATGCCACCATACCCAGCTAATTTTTGTATATTTTATTAGGGACGGAGTTTCACCATGTTAGGTCTCAAACTCCTGACCTCATGTGATCCGCCCACCTCATCCCCCCAAAATGCTGGGATTATGGATATGAGCTACTGCACCCAGCCAAGAGCCTAAATCTATGTTCTCAATTCATACTTCAAACCACACCAAGACAAGAGATAAAAATCCTCAAGCAACTGACCCAAACTGGCGGCCTAATTCTACCTGAATTCCCAGAGTACCCTTCCTCTGCCCAGAAAAGCTGCTCAGACATGGCCTGTCAGCTGTGGATGCAACTAAGGGAGCCAAGAAACACAGGCTTTCAAGTCGTCACCCTGAAATTTCCCCATGGCCTTTCCAGGTGAAGAAAAGTCCAGGAAAGGAATAAACAATCTTTTCATTGAAAGAAATCCAAAAACCTGGGCTTTGGTTCTGGCTTCCTAAGCATCAGTGGAGCAAAAGTGCCTATTACCATGGAAATGATAAGAAACCACCATTAGGAATTCTGAGATTCAAATTCTCTGAAGGCAAGGACTGTGTGATGTTTACGTTTGCCACTAGCACAGAGCAGGTGCTCAAAAATGCTATTAAACAAACGAAAGAAAAAGAACATAATCTGGTCTACTACACAACAAGAGGCAATGCTGAAGGGGAAAGGATTTTCCAAACGGAGATGTTCTGACTGAGAGGCACTTAGAAACCATAATCTGCTCTCATTTACCGAGTGCTTGCTGTGTGGTGGGCACAGTGAGTTAACCTTTCTTTTTAATCCTCAGAACAGCTCGATATTGTTGAATCTTACTATTACTCCATTTTATAGACAAGGAAACCGAAGCAAAGGATTTCACCCCCTGGCCCTAAGATAGCAGAGCTGGGATGTGGACCTAGGAGGAAATCATTTTATTTTATTTTTGTTATACTTTAAGTTCTAGGGTACATGTGCACAACGTGCAGGTTTGTTACATATGTATACATGTGCCTTGTTGGTGTGCTACACCCATGAACTTGTCATTTACATTAGGTATTTCTCCTAATGCTACCCCTCCCCGCTCCCCCCACCCCACAACAGGCCCTAGTGTGTGATGTTCCCCACCCTGTGTCCAAGTGCTCTCATTGTTCAATTCCCACCTATGAGTGAGAACATGCGGTGTTTGGTTTTCTGTCCTTGCGATAGTTTGCTCAGAATGATGGCTTCCAGCTTCATCCATGTCCCAACGAAGGACATGAACTCATCCTTGTTTATGGCTGCATAGTATTCCATGGTGTATATGTGCCACATTTTCTTAATCCAGTTTATCATTGATGGACATTTGGGTTGGTTCCAAGTCTTTGTTTTTGTGAATAGTGCCCCAATAAACATACGTGTGCATGTGTCTTTATAGTAGCATGATTTATAAGCCTTTGGGTATACACCCAGTAATGGGATCACTGGGTCAAATGGTATTTCCAGTTCTAGATCCTTGAGGAATTGCCACACTGTCTTCCACGATGGTTGAACTAGTTTACACTCTGTGGAAATCGTTTTAAAACCACCCTCTTAACCATGTTACTGGCAGTTGCAGCCTCCATCACTGCCTACTTTGCAAGCCAGCAGCAGACCCAAGGGCAGTTCCCCAGATTTACTGCACCCTTAGGAATGGCTTGCTACATCCTCATCACAACTTACCGATGAAGTAGTAAGCCTACAAGGGTGACATAACTCACCTAGGGCCCCACGACATTTTAAAGCTAAATCTCAGATGGAAACCCAGGTGACTGACCTCACTTTCATCACTTAACCATGACTCTGTTATTCAGTGCAGCAGAAAGAACTTTACTGAGAATGATGAATAACCACATTAGCAAATTCTC